ACCTAAAGTGGAAAGATGACTTAGTCTATACTAACTCATTGATTTACGAATCTAACCAATACCAAGCATTTTTTCATTAATTTATCTATAATTTAAAATGGTATCAAAATTAAAGATGAGTAGTTTAAAAACACAAGAATTTTATTTTAGTATCTCTGCACATCTTAAAGATTGACTGGTAGAGAGAATGTTTATAGCATCAAGTTCGCCTTTTGTACCACATTTTTTTTTTTTTTAAAACTTAGAATGGCAAACAAGCTGACGGCCCACCTGATGGAAAGTGGTAACCGTCGCCTATAGACATAAGCAGTACCATGGACATAACAGAGTATACTGTTTCGCCCATGATACCCCCCATGCGTTGCCATTCCTGAGGACTCAGGTGTTATTCTTCTGTACCCAGTAAATTCACGCCATATCCCACCCTTCAAACCGAAACACAGCCATGCAAACACAACTGCTTCACGGTTGAAACACGAATGGGACAGAGGTACCCAAGCAATCGACTTTTGTACAAAGTCTTCCTCTGGTTGATCAATAAAGTTTAAATAAATAAATAAATTTTAAGGGACTTCAATTTTGCAGGATCTTGGAAATATAAGTTATATAAACGACATAATCATAGTATTATTTGTACTACTATTTATATTATGTTACATATTACATGTGGTGCTGGAGAAAGATGGAGAAAATTAAGTGAATAGATCGAATTAGTAATGAGGAGGTCCTGCTTTAGGGTTAAGAAAAAGAGAGAAATTATAAGAACTATTGAGGTCAGAAGGGAAAAAATGTTGAGACACTTGATACGACACGACGAACTTATGAACATTATAATAGAAGGTAAAATAGAAGGAAGGAGGGGAAGAGGGAGACCAAGGCATAGTTACAGTAGGCAGATCAAGGAAATAGTTGGTGTCGTGTCGTATCAAGAGGTGAAGAGACTCGCTGAAAATCGTAGTAAGTGGCAAGAGCTCCACCGACAAGCAGCTCTTAAATAGGATAGAGAGATAGAATATGTATAAAAGCAAAAATACATATAAAAATTACTCAAATAATTTGTGAGAACAGCCTGTAGAAGTTATAAAATCCCAGAATCTCGTGTCGTGCGATGACTGAGCGAGATAAGATATCATCTATAATGCTTAATGAGTCATTTTGTTAATTTTATCGATTTTGTATAATTTAAATCCTGTTCGCCAATATTTATGTACCTATTAATTATTTATTAAAGAACGCGATTGTTTTCTTTGTCTTTTATCTACGACTTTATTTTAAAAGTAGCCATTTTCCGTGACTTTTCTCATGTGGATCAGTTCCTACGTGTTATGTTAGGATTTTTTTACAACACTGGGGGCAAACGATCATGCGGCTTACCTGATGGTACTTATCCTAGGTAGGATGTAAATAAAGTAAAAAAAAATCATATACAGTTTAAAAATTAACAGAATTAAGAATTTTTTTTGCATTTTTATGGCATCCCTCGGTCGTAAATATTCCTGATAATAATAAATATCATCACATCAGGCGTTAAGTGTCCAGTGCTGAACATAGGCCTTCCCCATAAAGAAAAGTTTGGCCAGTAGTTGCCACACTTGACAAGCGATGTCCGTAGTACTGCCCATATCTTTAGATGACAGTTACGACTTTCCATCAGATGAGCCGTCAACTTGTTTGCCATTCTAAGTATTATACAAAAAAAAGCTTAACCTTTCCTCTTTAATATTATATGAACACATATTGTATTACGTTTAAATAAGTTTTAAATTAATAAAGATCCCTCGTGACAGCTACTGTTATGTAATGCATATAAAACTGTTCACTTCAAACAACAGTTGAAATTTATTGCATCAAACATCGTTAAACACTGTTGAGAACATATTTAACTAACTTGATTATTACGTTTATGGTTTCACTAAGTAACTATTATGTTATATACCTATAAAACGATTAATTATATAAACTAAAACAGGTCAAGTGTAAATTAGACCCAAACCACCAAGGGTTCCGTGCTTAAAATAATAGATACGTAAATTTTTATTCTATTTAGATTAAAATTTAGGGAGTCAGTGGATGCAGAGGGCCTACCATGAAATGTTTTCCGAAATTTCGGAGCCAAACGAAACACAAATTTGATGTTAAAATTACATAATACATGCCGTTTGGAAATATTAAAAATGTTAAAATATTGTCCCTTTGGACTTTTATGATAGGATGTATGACGAACGAAATGTTAAACTCCATTTATTGGTCCGATTTTGGTATAAACAAAAACACGAAATTAAGTCCGAAGTTTCGAAATTTCATTTCATGGTAGACCCGCAGGTGGCTCAGAAGAGGGGTGAGGAGGGGTGGGGACAGGCTTATGCCCAGCAGTGGACGGATAATGGCTGAAATGATAATGATAATTAGATATAAATATTTTTAAATACTAATTACATCCGAATACAATAAAAAATAAAGAAAAGTAATAACGGTGTTATTTCTGTGTACCTTGTAAATTCAAAGAATGTCGTTTTTAGACAGCATACCAAGTCTAATCAAATCATCCTTATAGGTAGGTTAAATTAGGTTTGGTTTAGCGAGAGCCCCAAAAAAAAGATTTTTTTTATAAAATTCTTACATTTAGCAACACATGTTGATAAATCCTGGTATTTACCAATATACGGACTTTTACAGTAACACATATATTTCAATAAAGATATAAAGTTATTTCATATAAATATTATAAATATAAAAAAAATCTGTTGTAATATTTTCGAACAAACATTTACTAACAAACCAAAGTATTATCCACTCAAGCAGCGAAGGGCTAAGAAAATTATTGAAGCGTAATATCATGATGCTCACGATTCCGAGGAATTTCTTAGAAAATTGTTTACAAAGGGAACTAATAAGATGAGTTTTGAAACTGTTTACGGGGTCTTCTAATGATAGAACAGAGTGCTGGGTGTAGGCGCTGACGCGGAAACGAGCGGACGTCACATACTTAGCTAGGAGTTTGTTTAAACGATAAAAACGTGCTACCAATTTATGCTTATGAGGTACTTTCTTTTTTTTAAAAGGATGATAATGGAATGGCAACCCCACCCGCGCTATCAGTATACACCAGCGGGGCACCAGTGAAGGGTAATAGGTGAGGATAAAGTAGGTCAGTTAGCCCATCGTGACGAATTCAACAAGAATTGTTCACGATGGTTTCCAGGGGGAACCACATGGAGGTAAAAACTAATAAGGTATATTGCTAGCAATGGGGCTGTCAAACTCCATTGCTAACAATCCTTTTCCCCCTGCTTATGAGGTACTAGTGAGGAATAGGTGAGGATGAAGTCAGGTCAGTAGGTCTAGAAACGAGTGAATGGAGAGAGTGGTCAATCTAATAAGGCATATTGTTATGAAGCCGCCAGTCCTCATTACTATCAATTTCCTTGTCCCTAAAAGCTCTGCTTCGTTTGGAGCAAGCACACACATCATCAAATCATCATAATATCAGCCCTTAACAGTCTACTGTTGAACATACGCTTCTCCTATAAGGGAGGGGCTTGCTATAGTACGCACATAAATATAGATATAGTTATTTGGCCATTGCTAACAATACACGGTATATTAGTAACAATGAAGTCGCTAGGAAACAAAATAATAAATATATAAATAGTTAAACAATGCCCGTTAAATTTTATTCTTTTATTTCTATTACTATATCATCATCATCATGACAGCTTTTAACTGTCCACTGCTGAACATAAGCCTTCCTCTTGGGGGGGTTTTCCCAGTAGTTGCCACGCTTGGCAAGCGAGTTGGTAACCGCAGTTAAGCTTTTGTGATATTTTAAGAGGGAGGCTGCTGCCCATCCCTTGACCATTAAGTAGTTATTACTATATACTATACTGAAATACTATATTAAAAGCTCTCATGTAACTTTTTCTTAAATACATATATATAAATAGGTTTAGATATGTACAGATATAGTCGTTTTTTTTATAACACTGAGGTAGCAAACAAGCATACAACCCACCTGATGATAAGCGGTTACCGTAGCCTATGAACGCCTGCAATACCAGAGGTATTACGCGCGCGTTGCCGACCCTGAAGAAACCTCTTTACCCCCCTTTTGAAGAACCCCATGCTGTAGTTTAATTACAATTTTAATTATTATACGTATAGCGTACTCTAAACCTATTTTTAATACCAAACGCTAATAATAACATATCCGCTACCGCTTCCGCCCATACACCCTATACTAATTCAATTTCGTCTCTGCATTTCTCTCATTTTGCGTTGTTCAAATGTTCTTAACATCGCCTTGTTATGTAAATGACAGCATTGCCATGGTCCTTTATAGCTTACTATAAGAGGAAATCTTAAGAACACTTTTAAAGGATATTTACATGAAATGTTATTTTCTGTCTTCCTTTGGCTTAAAATTATTTTGACATTAATTTGCACTTCTAAAATAAAATAGAATTTTACCAGTAAGAGACTTTATACAAAATTATCTGAATGTTGGGTAGCATTGTCCCACTCATATTTCTACAGCCAAGTAGCTATGTTGACATGACTGTCTTTCCGTGTATAGAATGAATTGTTTAAATTACTAAGTTTGGAAGTATAACATGCTAATCCTTCTGTGGGGGAAAGAAGTTGTCTGTTGTAATGGTGTCTAACAGTCCCATTGGTAGCAGTGTACCCTATCAGGTCGACCTCCATGTGGTTCTATTTCCAAAGCTTAGGCTTTGGAAAGCCAAAGTTTTGGAAACACACGTACCACGAACCACACCATCACAGAGCCACGCAGTTAGCTGCGTTTGCCAATCCGCCTGTCAAGCGTGGCAACTACTGGCAAAACCCCCAAGGGGAGGCTTATGTTTAGCAGCTGTCAGTTAAAGGCTGATATGATGATGATGATGATCTCCTATATGCAGGCATTATCTAACTACGATTTTATTATATAATTATGCACTAGTAAGATCAGTATGTAATTACAATCAATGTGTTGGTTGCAGCGATACTTCAGCGTGCGACGTTCAAGGTCGGCCTCCTGACGATCCAGGGGGTCTACACCTGCCTCTACCTCTGCATGGATGCTTGCGGATACCAATACGCACATGTGAGTATGCCTTTATATCTGTACTTGTACTCAGATAGGGTACAAGTCAAGCAATAGCACACGTTTTCCTAATTCAGCCATCAGTCTCCACAATATATACACTGTGTTTTTTTTTTATAAAACTTAGAATGGCAAACAAGCTGACGGCTCACCTGATGGAAAGTGGTAACCGTCGTCTATAGACATGAGCAGTACCATGGACATAAGAGAGTATACTGTTTCGCCCATGATACGCCCCATGCGTTGCCATTCTTGAGGACTCAGATGTTACTCCTCTGTACCCAGTAAATTCATGGGCGGCGGTAGTCACTTACCATCAGGTGCGCCGCATACTCGTTTGCCCCCTGTGTTGTAAAAAAAAAATTCACGCCATATCCCACCCTTCAAACCGAAACACAGCCATGCAAACACAACTGCTTCACGGTAGAAACACGAATGGGACAGAGGTACCCAAGCAATCGACTTTTGTACAAAGTCTCCCTCTGGTATTCTTAAGTGTATTCTTAAGTGAATAGTTTGTTCATACAGTATTGTGGAGAATAAATAAATATTTTAAATACTGAATTTGAATTTCGAATACCGTTTTTTATATTTCTTTATACCACTGAAGTGGATAATAAGCATACGACCCACCTGATGGTAAGCGATTACCGTAGCCTATGAACACCTGCAGTACCAGGGACAATACGCGCGATGCCGACCTTAAAACTACCTCTTTACCTTTTTTTTTAAGAACCCCTTTTATTTCAAATAAGACATGCCATTTATACGCACGAAGCACTTTGCGTTTTCCTTCATCATGCGCATGGCCAAGGAGTGGAACTCTCTCTCTGGTTTTCTCATCTAAATATAATCTGCACCAATTTAAGGCAAATGTGAATAAGCTATTTGTGTTCATATCATTTGAGATCGTGCTCAATCACGGGACCTTCACTTCACCGCCATATCCCACCCTTCAAACCGAAACACAGTCATGCAAACAACTGCTTCACGGTAAAAACACGAATGAGACAGAGATACCCAAGCAAAGGGCTTTTGTACAAAGTCTCCCTCTGGTAATATATGATAGGCAAATTCTTTTAATGTAACTTTTACGGTTATCTCATAGAGTAGAGAACAGCACCTACATCATTGGCGACACTGATGACACTGAAAAATTTTGCCAGCACTCCCCGATGGCAAGAAAGAAAGCCATCGAGGGTTTCTCTTTTTTTAATGACTAAAAATGCAACGTTGACTTTGATATGACTAAATACTTATGACGATTACGCGTGACTCCTGCGGCGCTCCATTCGACCAGTATTAGACAGGTGACAAACGATAGATACGATATCGTTAGCGCTCGTATCAAAAAGAACAACACACGCAACAACAGGTGTCTCGTTCTATCTCATACACGCGATAGCGATAACGTTTCTATCGGTAAATTCGAGCTGGATACACCAATAGATATAGGTTATCACAACAATAGGCTACGATACCCAAAAATACAATCGATTACAAATGAATCAATTGCATTTAGGACCTATCCACACTCCACAATAATGTATCATAATTCATTAGTGGATAAATAAAATAAAATTGATTGCGACTGACGATTCGAAACTTTCACCGCACCAGGATATCGATCGATCATCGAATGATCGACAGATCCCATCTACGATCCATATAATATCGAAATATATTTGTTGAGAACTGATCCACCACGACATTTTGTTTTATTATACAAGGAATGAATTACTCACTAGATCTAAAAGGAACATGATCGTAAATATATTTTTCTTTAATAAACAATGTAATACCTTGTAATGTAATAATCGTACAGTAAAAGACACCATTGCTTACATAAATTTGCGCTGTACTTTTATTAAAATCATATTTCCAAAAATAATTAAAGCATTATTAATAGCTCAACAATTTATACTCTACGCTTTATTGCGCGATGCGAAAGATACGTCAGTAAAGCCATAAAAAATAAAGTGAAATTTTTATGTATTCAATTATATATTTAATAATTAAAAAGTGTCAATTATTTTATTATTAGGCTGACAGGCTCGACTCCAAAAATCTCACTTTATACAGCGCGCTTACAATAAAAACTGCTAAAATATTGATGTCAAATTAAGTAATTCATCCTGTATCAGGTTGAATGAAATATCGTAGTCGATTTCGAATATGATAGTTCCTATATCGATAAGAATAATCGGACCCAGTACATGGCAGTAAAGTCAAAACAACGTTTTCCCTATCACGTATTCCATACCAAAAATTACTTATTATATATTTAATTATTATATATATATATATATATATATATATATATATATATATTATTCTAAATGTCTGTTTGCCTTAAATAAATAAATAAATAATGAAGTTACATATAAATATCATGTATATAACATTAGTAAACGATTTACTGTATACAAAATACTCTCGTATATGCAAATAATTTCGATCAATAAACAAAAATAGCGTGTCCAAGTGTTATCGATCTTTAATTCGCTGATGTTCAATTCATTTTTATTGCACATTTATTGGTTATTGATACGGCTCGTTCGGTTTTTCTGTGACATCATTATATTTATTGAGACGTGTGAATGGTCCCTTAAGATTTTTTTGGTCCGTTTTCAAATGCTATTGTCAATTGTGACTGTAGCTCAATCGAGTGTCGATTCTGGTTTGTGGGTGGCATATCTATTGTAATGGGAGCGGTGTACCAGTGAATATTATGCCAATTGTGAGATGATAATAATAATAGTGAAAGTATTATATACATAGAAACAAATATTTATATATTCATTTATAAATACTTCAATATCTGTTAACTGTGTCTACTGTGGAACATAGGTTTCCTCCTATTATTTTTATGGATGATAATAGAATGGTAGCCCCGTCTGCGCTATCGGTTAAAAGACGATTGCTTGGGTACCTCTGTCCCATTCGTGTTTCTACCGTGAAGCAGTTGTGTTTGCATGGCTGTGTTTCGGTTTGAAGTGTGGGATATGGCGTGAATTTACAGGGTACAGAGAAATAACACCTGAGTCCTAAGGAATGGCAACGCATGGAAGGTATCATGGGCGAAACAGTATACTCTATTATGTCCCTGGTACCGCTCATGTCTATAGGCGACGGTTACTACTTTCTATCAGGTGGGCCGTCAGCTTGTTTGTCATTCTAAGTTGTATTTAAAAAAAATACTTTGTTTCTATCATAGATTGTTTCACATACTCCTCAAATACAGTGAATTGTTTGTTAAAGTAATATTTATATACATATTTATTTATTTAACATATTATGTGTATTTATATATAGTACATATATAGTGTATACACAGTACATAGAATTTTACTATACATCGAAGTTTAAATAAATAAAAAAAAGCTAAATCATTACAAATACATTACAGAAACTTCATATAGACTTTCATTACGACTTATAATGCCTTTCCCTATCTTTTTTTTTTCTTAAAAACTTAGCCTAAGGTATATTTTTAATTATATGTGGGTATTAAACATTGATTTATTTATAGATTAATCAGTCTTATAAATCTATTTTCTACCTTACGACCGATTATAATAAAAAGGACTTTCTCTTAAAACATTAAAATTATGTACATCAACAGCGGACCCCTAAAGGTCGAATTTCACAGTCATAAATATTATAAACGCTCGATTCTTGTGTGTCACTCGAAGTGTTACACTCGATTTATGTCTTAATGTTTTATGTTACTGGCAACCCTACAGGGAGGGCCGAACCATGTTTGTTTTGGTGTGTGCTGGCAAATATGTTTGATCAATGGTTTGTTACGCCTCAAAGGCGATGTTAACTACTTGTGATCACGTAACTTGATTTTCAGTTTGTCATAAAAATTAAATGTGTTTTGTAATGTACTTCTGCAAATCATTGCCATGTAAATATTACCAAGTGGCTCAAAGTACAGACAAGAGTAGAGAGAGATTGTTTTCTGTTCTATATAATTAAGAACTAAAATAACAATTAGGTACTAAAAATTACTGAAGAATATAAGAGTAGAACAAATGTTACTGATAACCATGATTTTATTTTAGTAACTTAGATTACATAAAAAAACGCTCAACAATAATAAACGGCAAATTCTATTGCAACTAGATTTATATGAGGTAAACACGAGTGTAAACATTGCTTATAAAAGAACTATCAAAATCGGTTTAAAACTGACTAAGATATCGCCTAACATACACGCAAATCTCTCTCTCTCTTCGTCCTCTTCATTACTAAAGGTCGTGTCCTCGAAAGGTGTCCGTTGTCTCTCTTATGATGTTATTCCATTTTGCACGGTCTTCAGCTTCACGCAGGGCAGCTGCAATTGACAGTCCCGTAACGGCGGTTATTTGGTCCGACCATCGATTAGGCGATCGTCCGCATGGTCTTTTTCCTTCTATCTTGCCTACAACCATTAGTTTGTCCAGATTGTCAGACTGTCGTCGAGCATACGCAAATATACACTTAAATTTTAAACCTCTTCCATTTTAAAATTCATTAAAAATAAATAGCAAATATCCTTGATTAAAGTTTACAAATCATTTCAATGAATCGTTCATGAATGCCGCTTAAATTTTAAACAAACAAACTGAGCATAATACCTATTTAAGAATTTAATATAACTCCTTGATTGTATTGTAAACAAACATTGTCCCCTCGACATCTCAATGGATTGAAAACATTTAGCAAATCATTTGTCTTCGGATTCACGCTCTCACCCTTGTTTGGAGCCGAGGTCATCAATTTAGGACGGTCTAAACAAATGACTTTGTTTTCGTTCCCCGACTATTTTTTTGGCGGGAAAGTGCAACTGTCATAATAAGAGGTTTATTTTTTTTCTTATATATTTTGTTATGCAAATGTCATATCAACTAACACGACAATTCGTGTTAGTATTCTGCTATAGTATTATTGTCATTTGTTTGTTTTATTAGATTTTTATTTAAATTTCCATCAAATATTTAATCTTAATTAGT